CCCTGAGGGGATCTGTTTAAACCACCGAATTGTTATGCTTACGTGTGTTTTTTAACGATAAAAATCGACAGACTGCAGTATTTGAAGGGTGTCATCGGTCTGACCGTGTAAGTACTAACAAGCAATACATTGGACCGCTTGCCCTCACACAGTACTTAAACTAAATTTGGTAAAATAGACAACCAAGAGGGTCGAGAATTGAGCTCAGATCGAGTTTTCAAAAATGTTTATCTTACTGTCTGGACACGGACGTTTTCCAAAAACTATAGACATTCAAGTTTCCTTCCAACGAAATTGCAAAAGTTGAACTTGCATATGATAAATCCTTTTTGGGGAGAATTTCACCTCAGTGAATCAAGTGAGCCAAAAGAAATTGATAAGACTCTTATAACGCGCAATAACACTGTGTCTGGCCATCTACTGGGTTTCAGCTAGGAGCATGAAACCCTTGTTAAGATAAGGCCGAAAGTTTTTAATCGAATGTCTTACCGTTGGCCGAGCTTCTGCGTGGTTCGAGGGCACATCGGGCAAACTTAACGAAAAGGAAATGGATTTAAATAGATGCAAAGCCAATGGGACTTGGAGTAAAAAAGGTGCAAATTGGCTAAACGACTGTAAGCAACTACTGTAAAACTGATGTTCAGGGCGGTAGATTCTTATAAAGGTGAACCTCGTTAAAATATCTCATCTACTGGTGTGGTCTAACACCATGACAACGGTCGCACAAATGGCAGCGACGCCGAAGCGCAATGTAACCTCAAATAAGGACACAAAGCGCATCTTCTTGAAAATATAAGAAACATCCTCTGTAGCAAAATCCAAGTTTCCTACCGCGAGATGAGCGGACATTATGCTCTGCAAGCTTAACCGAAGAGCAAATACCTCATGAACATCGCCGTAGTCTACTATACATAACTAACTACTTATTTCCTTGTAGTTTATTATTTAGTTTAGTTATATTATTAGTTTATTATTTATTTATTGAGCTTTAGTTTATATTTTAGTTAGTTAGTCTAGTTTTAGTTTAGTTTTATATTAGTTTATTACTTAATTTCAGTTTACCACCGGTCCCCTTGTCTTTGCACAAATTCATTTGCTTGTTCGTTGTTTCTCGCGCACACAGACGAAGATGAGTTGGTGCATGTTTGAGAATTTCATCTATGGATTAGCATAACGGCGATCGAACAGGCATTTTCGCGGATGTCCTCCGCCGTTAAATGAAGGCGACGA